TTCTTTTCTTTTTTTTTTTTGGTAAAACATTTCACCTTCCATCCAGAAGGCTTCATCAGTCAAGGAAACACACAATACAAACCTGATTATTCCCTCAACAGCTTACTCCAAAGTGGAACATACCAGTTATGTTGGTGCTAAGATAGTCTCTTTGTAACACCCCCTCCTCCAGTGCCGGCCTTCTTCCTCGTCGACAGTCATGTCAAACTGTTTCAAACCCAACAGAGTCGACAAGGAAGAGGGCCAGCACCAGAGTTCGGGGCATGCCAAAGAGACCATCTTAGCACCAACATAACTGGTTTGTTTGAAAGAGAAAAAAAAAAAAAAAAACACACACATGTACTCTGTCTTGCTATGGCTGAATTTCGTTCCTCTTTTTTCAAGTGCATACCTCCACCTCTCCAAGTTCTCTTCCACCTGTTTCCTGTTCTCACTGCAGATCACAATGTTATCTGCAAAGATAATAATCCACGGGGATTTCTGTCTGACCTCCTCTGTTAGTCAGTCCATCACCAGAGGAAACAAGAAGGGGCTTAGAGCTGATCATTGATGCAATCCCACCTCCACCTTGAAGCTATCTGTCACTCCTACAGCACATCTCACCACTGTCATACATGTGCTGTACCAGTCTAACATACTTCTCTGCCACTCCAGATTTCCTCATGCAATATTGCGCCTCCTCCCTCGGCACCCTGTCATATGCTTTTTCTAAATCTAAAAAGACACAATGGAGTTCTTTCTGAACCTCTCTGTACTTCTCCATCAGTGTCCTCAAAGCAATATCATCTGTGGTGCTCTTTCTTGGCATGAAATCATACTGCTGCTCACAGTTTGTCACGTCTCTTTTAAGTCTAGCGTCCTCGACTCTCTCCCAGATCTTCACTGTGTGACACATCATCTTAATTCCCCATCTAGTTACTTCAACTCTGCACATCACCCTTGTACTTAAAAATGGGCACCAGCACACTTCTTCTCCATTCCTCAGGCAGTTTCTCACCCTCAAATATGCCATTGAATATTTGAGTCAAAAGCCTCACTGCCATCTTTCCAAGACATTTCCAAACATCCACTGGTATGTCATCAGGTCCTGAAGCCTCCCCCTTCTTCATTCTTTTCAGAGCTTTCTGGACTTCCCCCTCACTAATCTTTCCCACTTCCTGGTCCACAGCCTCTATGACCTCTACTCTTCTTTCTATTTTGTTCTCTTTATTCATTAGCTCCTCAAACTACTCCTACCATCTCCCCTTGACACCATCCTCTCTTGTTAGAACATTACCATACCTATCTTTAACAAGCCTAACCTGCTGCACATCCTTTCCAGCCTGATCCCTTTGTCTCGCCAATAGGTACAAGTCCTTCTCGCCCTCTTTAGTTTCCAGACTCACACACAATTAATCACATGCCATCTGCTTTGCCTTAGCTACCTCCTTCTTTGCTCTACATCACATCTCCTCTTATTCCCATTTCTCTCTTCAGTCCTCTCACTGTCATATTTCTTCTTGGCTAACCTCTTTCTTTCAATAGCTTCCTGCACTATTCCACCACCAGGTTACCTTATAATCCATTCTCTGTCCAGATGACATATCAAGTACCTTCCTACATGTGTCTCTAATTACTGTTGCTGTAATAGTCCAATCATTTAGAAGGTCTTTCTTACCAACCAGAGTCTTTAACAGCTCCTCTCTGAATTTCTTATAACCTTATAATTTTCTCAGCTTCCACCATTTGCTCTTCTTCTCTGATTTTAACTTCACTTCCGGCGAGCTGATGGACAGCAGCTCCCTCCGGCTTCTCTGCAGTCTTTTATCATCAAACTGACCCGTTTTTCGAACCGGACTAAAGTTGGTCCTCCTTCCAACCGAATTCGGTGTTCAGTGACTCAGAGAGCCGACCGGGGCCCCTCCAGCAAGGCCCTTAACAAAAAAAAAAAATTTTTGGCCCTGGACCGATCGGCCGCTCCCCACCCCATCGGTCACTCTGAGCGCACCCTGCCGGCCAGGTGACCCCTCGAGCTGGGGAGTCGACGCACGAAGGTCCGGTGTTTTTTCTCTCTCTCCCTGGACCTCAACGAACTCTTATCTGGACCTTTGTGGTTCTACCTGGTTCCGACAAATATCGCCGGGTGGTATTTCGCTGGTTTTCAGCTGGACTGGCCCTCGTGGTGTTTCCATAGGTGTGGGGGAAGTGTACCTGTGACCCTCGAATTGGACCAAAACCGAATCGAGGTGGCTGTGGGGAAATTCGTCTTCTACAGAGCCGGTCTCAGCTTCAGTGAGCAGCCCGTTACTTTTACTGAAAGACGATCCACCTCCGTGGAGTCGTTGTGTTCACCTGGAGGAGACGCTCCGGTGCTTTGAAGCGCCGCCGGACCGGAGCAGAACCGCGCCGCCGGGCTGCCGGACCGGAGCAGAACCGCGCCGCCGGACTGGGCCGCCGGACCGGAGCAGAACCGCGCTGCTAGACTGGGCCGCCGGACCGGAGCAAAACCGGGCCAGGGATATCTTCAGCCTCTTCGTCTCTCGTGCTTGGAGCGCCGGAGCCGAACTGGAGCAGAACCGGACCAGACCAGTTGCCGACTTCAGCCTCAGCCTCTCCGGTCAGTCTCGCTTTTCACCGGGGGTGCCACGTGCTGTCGGGTGCTGAGAAGCGGAGGAGCAGCGTGGAGGAGCAGCGTGGAGGAGCAGGGCTGCGTGGTGATCGAGAGAAGTTCGGAGTTTGTATCGGAGCTGCTGCAGGCCTCCATCCAAACTCACCTGGATAATAATTAATTTTATTCCGGATCACGTTGTTGGCCCCTGTTGACCTGAAACGAACTTGGACCATGCCTTTCACTTCAGGAGGATTTTCTGGCAGCTCGCTCTGCTATTTGCTGCGAATTTTCAGTTTCTGTTTCGGCCTGTTGATTCTGGACCCAGCTTCTGTTTCTCATGGGAGCATCCATCCATCCATCCATCCATCTTCACTGGGGGGCCGGAGCCCCCCTCAGCCTGACTCAAACTGCAGTTGGGCCACCTCGTCGGGTTTGTTTGCCCATTTGAACTGTGACATTTTATGGTCTGAATCTTTTCTGCATCATTCATATTACTGTCACTATTTTCAGTTCTCAGATTATCTGGAGTCACTGAATCTTGTTAATACACCTGGATCTGTCCATCACTGCAACTTTCACTGTTTTTGGGTTCTGAATGATCGCGTCTTCATTAATGTTTCTCATGGTTCGATTATGGGGGCTAATTGTCACACTGTTAACTGCTGTAATTACACATCAGTCACAAAAAACTCAAGAAAATGTCTGATAATAATGTTGTTATTGCTCTCAGGAATTCAACCAAATCCTGGACCCCCCACTAATTACAGCACACCAAATGACTTTAAAAACGCCTCTGGGCTCCATTTTCTGCATGTAAACGCTCGTAGCCTTCTGAAAAAAACTTGATGCTGTGAAAATCCTGGTCAGTTCTTCTGGGGCTGATGTTATCTTTATTTCTGAGTCCTGGCTCAACAAATCTGTAATGAATAATGACGTGGCAATCAATGGATTTAACATCTACCGCTGTGATCGTCAAAAAAGGGGGGTGGAGTCATTATTTACATTAGAGATACCCTGGTTTCAAGTCTTGTGACTTTCAAAACAATTCCAAACCAGTTTGAAGCCTTATCTGTAAACATCACCTTGAATGGAGGCCAGGTTTTAACTGTAGTCTGCTGCTACCGCCCCCCCTCAGCTTCACCTGAGGCATTAAATGCCATTAAGGAATTCCTTGGTAATTTAAAATTCACAGAGATCTTTTTGGCAGGAGATCTCAACATTGATTGGTGTAAGTCGACCCCCCTCTGTGACAAATTCAAGGAATGTTGCTTGTCTTTTAATTTAACCCAACTGATCGACTCCCCCACCAGATTAAATAAAAGCCATCCTGA